AAAACCAAACAGAATTTTTTTTTTTTTTTTTGGCAGAGTAGCTGAGGCAGGAGCTGTAAAGGCTCTGCCCTCTTCTAGAAAGGGGTGGGGAGCAGCAGCTTATTTGCATTTAAAGAGACATGCATTCAAAATGGACAGTTACAACATGGTATAAATAAATTATCTTTGGGTAATTTTGAGACACATTCTGGGGACACCTGAGACTAATATTACATCTTGTAAAAAGCACAATAGGTCCCCTTTAAAATCCTGCCGTTGGTGGTGTTGGACTGTTTTGTCATACATCGAACTTTAAACTCATTGTTGCCACCGTGTTAATTGTTGAAGCAAAGATTAGCCTGTATGGTGATTAGAACCGCCTTGAACTTGAGGACATGAGTATAGACAAAATGGTGTGTCAAGTGTACCTGACGATACTTCTCGTCTGGTGTAAAACTCTTTATTGTTCCTCACAACTCACCTTATCAGTATGCATATTCTTTTTCATTTTCATTTCCTTTTCTTAATTCCATGCCAAAATGTCCCACACCACCTTGAAATCAAGGACAACAAAACGTGTTCAGACATTCTATGACGGGCAGCCCACCAGCCCCCCAGGTGTGTGTCATATCCCAATGGCTGAACCTTTCTGCAGCAAGACAAGAGAGGTTAGTGACATTTCCCAGCTCTCTGTCCTTATTGTTCATCTTATCTTATTCTCTTCACCTTTTTCTTACCTCCTCTTGTAGGTTCTCCTGGAGGTTGCCCAGGCACTTGGTGTGAAGTGTCATACTCGAGGGACAATGGTGACCATAGAGGGTCCTCGTTTCTCCTCTCGGGCAGAGAGCCTAATGTTCAGACAGTGGGGTGCTGATGTCATTAACATGTCCACAGTACCGGAGGTGGTTCTTGCCAAGGAGGCCGGGCTGTGCTATGCTAGTATTGCAATGGCAACTGATTATGACTGCTGGAAAGAGCACGAAGAGGCGGTGAGCAGATAGAAGCCTCTGTCTGAGTCTGTGTGTACCTGCTTAATCATATTCATATTTTTCAGGACATCCAGGAGTTCAATTATATTGGTGGTGTTGTACTATTTATTATATATTGTTTGTAAACAATATATAAATAAAGTAAATTATTTTTTTAATTGTAGAAATGCTGTAAGTTTTCTGTCAGCAGACCCCAGTTTGAAAGCCCCTGGGTTATAGCATTTATAATAATTAACTGTAAATTAAAAACCAGAAAAGTCATTAGAATGACCCCATTTAGATAAGTAAACTTCATTTGAATCAGTTGAGTTCAAGCCATTATTCCCTCTAAGCTGTGCACATGCACAGCTGCACGTTTCTGATGTTACTCCCACACAGAGTGGGATTGAATGGAATTGTTTTCAGTCTGGAATGGAAACTTAACTGAGTAATTCTGTGCCAAAATACACATTCAAAAGATTACAAATTTCAAGTGCAAAGTGTTACCAAACACTGCCTTATTAATAAACTACACAATGTAATGTTTGAGTAATTTAGTCATTTATTTTGGGTCAAAGGACGATTGATAAATATCTACAACCTTGGACCCACACAAACCCTGGTATTTCATTGGTTCTTATGTTTGTGGCAAATACTCACTCTAGAAACGTTGAGTTTTTTTATTTTTATTTTTTATCCGTTTTTTAATACTAGTCTGCTGCTTCTCTACAATTTAATTAGAGTGCCATAAATATAAGCATTCGTCTCTTGGTTACACATGCCACATAAAGGCCCTTCGTTATTAAAAAAGTTTTTATGGTTAATTTTCATTGCAACTAGACCATATGAGTTTTAACAGCGACAGTGTGTATACAATCTTTTGATGCCATGTCAGAGAAAGTCCATAATAAAGGCCAAATGTGCTGCTATTGTGTTCATTCAAAGTTATTTGTATCCTATTGGTTTAGAAGGATTGTTATAGGATATTCCTTTTTAAGTCAATAAACTCTCTACAGATTATAGTTTCCGATAGCCGGACAACCGGTTAGGCTTGTAGTTTGAAGCAATGTGTACTTCCCCTCGCAGTTCAGAGTCCTCCTTCCGAGTTCCTGCTGCTGACCTCTAGTTTTCACGCCCCACTTCACCACATCCTTCCGTCCCTGTCCTGTATTCTCATTCTCTCTCTGACTCATGCACAGACAATCATACACATTTTGCTGCCAGCCAATTAGTCAGTTCCTCTAAAGGAAAACATTGGTGATCAAAAACAGTCTACAGTTCAGTTTTCTTTCTTGATCACATGGATTTTTCTTGTTGCTGTCTTAATTTAGCAGGTTAACTATAGATCCTAGAATTTGAATGCACAATGTAGCTGTAGACAACTATGATTTACAAAGTCAGGCATTAGAGACAATAGACCATTTGTTGCTTGAGCATAAAATGTCTTCCGGATTCAGTTTTAACTTGTGACAGGTTATACATGACTCATGGCAACCTTATCTGCATTATCTGAGTGGCCACGGGCAAACGTGAGACTCATAGAGACTTAACAGTGTGATATGTTTATGGATTTTTTTTTTTTAAATGATTTTGTTTGTAGGTAACGTAGTTTTAAGTATAAATGTGATCATTTTAAGATCCGGATGCATTGCTCCTTCATATCTTATCGGTTAATGATCCTCTGTGGCTTGCTGGTCCATTAATAGCCATTTTGTTAATGTACCATTACTTTAGGTTTTCCTATATATTTTTATAAACCTGTATGTACCAAACTTAGCTCCATATTTTTTTTATTTTTTTTTTATTCTAGGTGAGTGTGGACAAAGTTCTAAAAACCATGAAGGAGAACGCAAACAAAGCTAGCAGCATCCTGCTCACAGCAATCCCACAGATCAGCCAGATGGACTGGGAGAGCACAATAAATGCACAAAAAGTGAGTTTAAAGCTCTTGAAATTAATAAATGACTGTTTTATTTTATTTTTAATATATGTAATTATAATAGATTTTTTTTTCTCTAAATCTGACATGTATGAAACTTTCCATGTCATAATTTGTTTTCCTTTCTGTTGTTGTCCAGTTGATGTCACAGTCTTCAGTAATGTTGCCCAAACATTAAAGTACTCTGCCATCAAGGAGTCACGAAGATGTGGTGTCCACAAATGCAATCATGTATCTGTAAACAAGTGTGTCATTGTTACTGCTATATTAACCTAAATAAAATAATAAATAAAAGGGGTTTGTTTGTCAGCCACACTGACAGGAATGTGCAGTTACCACTCTTTAAAATACAGTATTGTATTGTTGTTGTTTTTTTTGTAAACAATTAGACATAATGCATGGAGCATTGGTAGAGGGAATGGACAGGATATTTTTTGAATGATTTTTTTTCAGTGCCTTTTAAATGTAGTAAATATAGTAGTAGTGTATTTGGTTGTTTATATAGCTAAATACATTTCTCTCATAACCACAAATAAATGTATGCGTTTTTTTCCATTCATTTTGCCACATTTTAATGAGCAGTGCTGAAACTTCTCCATTTTGAGTCAGCAGTGCATTTGTTAATATTGTGCATTTGTCTATTTTTAACAAAAATTGTTAAACTGGTTGCTTGTCAGAAAAAGAAAAGAAAAAAACTTTTTCTGCAGTGTTTTTCCCTCAAGCAATCTTAACAGAAATATGTTCATTGTTTTTATAAATATGAATAATATTAGAAATAATATTTCTGCTTTCAAAATGGAGGCCTTCCTAATCTGACTTTGATTTAGTAGTTTCTGAACTTATTCTGTTTTTTCTGTTCTTTCCACGAGATTAGGTCAGCTTGCCAATACCTTGCAGAAATAATTTTACAAATAGAGATAGAGATAAACTCCCAAGTTAATAGGTAATTCTACAAATAACCAGACATTTTTGGTACTTTAAAAGTAATTCTCTATGCAAAATCCATCTTTAAAAAAATGACATGTTTTATGTTATTTATTTATTATTTAGTTATCTACATTTAGTTCTCTAACTCGTAGTGCCAGTATCTGTATTCCACACAGGTTATTTGCAGCCAGGAGAAAAAATTATGTAGGCAAAGCAAAAATGTCTGCAATCAAAATTATCAATAATAACAAACATTCCTTTCCGCACAAGCGAAATGTTTCTTTGGACTCTATAAAACCCAGTAAAACAGTGTATGCTTTAAAGAACAAAATAAAGAATTTAAGCTTCATAGAACACAAGATGCAAAGAGCGCTATAGGCTATTACAAAAAAAAAACTAGTCCAAGGCACTCCAGAATGGCTTTAACTTATTCTTATGGCTTATACTTGGGCTTTAATTTATGGCAATACAATTTTAAAAACATTCACATATGTAAAAGCTAAAAGGCTTTTTATATGTTTTTCTACATTATCGAGTGCATATTTGGCCTCGTTTAAAAAAAAAAGATTTTAAGCTTGCATGGTTGAGTAGGCCTAGTTTTATTCAAGCTTATTCATAAAATATAGTAAATCAAACGAAAATATCTTTACAAAAAAAAAAAAGAGAGAGAGAACTGACGAAACGGCTCACCAAAATGTTGCCTAGCGGCTACATCTCGCGTTATTATTGCATTGTGATGCTGCTCAAAACGGACGACTTGATTTCGTTATATTTCATCGATTCGATTCCTTATAGCCACATCATTCATTACCATGCCTAAGTTAAAAACAAATATTTTAGTCTAGTAAATAATTTGTATCAGCTACGCCGCCTCTACAGTTTAGTAGGCTAACATCGTTATGCTTCAGACTGAATTAAGTTTGGGTTTCTTATATACCAAACATAATGCGGAGATGCTGTTGCCTATTCAAAAATGAAGAACAAAAAATTCTCAACGAAAACATAGCCTATAGGCTACTTAAAATGTTGAGCCTAAACTGCAAGTATCCACAGTCAGTAGACTAGCCTAATAAATCACAATTAAAGTGCATTAACAAACTGCGCTCATTCCTTTACTTTTTAAAATAGCCTAGGGCCTATATATAGGCCTGTCATTTGTGGAAAAATAGGCTATATGTTAAGATAAAAAAAACTTTAGCTTTTAAAAACGACTAAGAAATTCAACCACGTCCACATGGTCAGCCTGCCGTGCCACATCCACAGGTCGTAAATTGCAGTGATCTGTTGCATTGGGATCAGCGTTAAAAAGGATTAAAAGCCGCACAGTGTCCATGAATCCGGCTCTGGCAGCATCGTGCAGAGGAGTGCTTCCTGTCCCGGGATCAGGCAGATTAGGATCCGCTCCATATTTCAGCAGCAGGTGAGCCAATGGTGTGTTACCCATCATCATCACCTGCGAAAAACGTGAAATGTTTTCGCTTTCAGAAAAAAACTACTCGTTGGCATATAACTGTTCCATTTAAAAGAAATGCATTATTTTAATCATTAAGGAACAGATTTTCTTTCGTGCAGTAAGAACATTGTAGGCTAATTGTAGGTTATTCTAATTTTTGCAGTAATAATGAAATAATTATCTCATGTTTTTATTAGCCTTTACTATTGTTTATCAGTTAAGTGCGTATGAGTAGCCTATGCGCACTTGTGATACATCTTTCGTTAAAAGATTAAAAGCGTAGGCTATCAATAAGCCTGACATGACACCTCAAGCAATACGGTGGTTTTACAGTTTCTGCATTTTTGCTGTCTGTTCATTTTAAGTTTAAGAAACTAGCCGACATCGTTTTACTTTGTAGGCACTTTATTTTGACCCCTCCAGCTTTTTTTTTTTTTAATCCTGTAGGCTACAGAATGTAGGCTACCTATTGCAACATGGAATGAGCTGTATAACACCATCAGTTGAACCGACTAGAAATTAGTAACGAAATTATAGCCTGTACGTGACCACATTGTTAATAAAATGCTTTTAACGTCTGGTTTAAAATGTTTGCAGTTTGTGAGGGGGTAGTTAATTGTGATGGGGCTGGGGGGCTATTTATTTTGAATAAGCTAATAAAACTGGACATTAAATCCATGGCAGAATGTAAACGTCCAGGTTTTCTATTAGGCTACAACCCATCCTGGTAGTAGGTATTGGTTGGCTAAAAACAGCACTCTTTTGACATAATTTACACAGTTTAGGAATAGGATAAAAAAAAAAAAAAATCAAGTAGGATAAGTAGATTTAAGAATACTAAAATGTGACATCGAGACACTTTTTTGTTCTTTGAAGCACATGATTTTATATCGTCGTCCAGTTGCTAAAAATCTACCTTATAGCTATCTTACAATCAAGACAAATAAAACAGAAAAGTTTTTTTTTTTTTTTTTTTTACAATTTTTTTCTTCGAGTTTAAAAATAAAGGTCATTTACTGGTGCTATGTTAAAATATAAAGTGAAATAGGCTGTTAGGCTAGTGCTAAGATAGTATGAATATTCTTTATAGCCTAGGCTACTATACAAAACAAAAATACATCAATGACATTATTAAAAGTCATTAATGACAATAGGCCATATAGGCTATTATAAATGGCAAAAATATTTCCAGTTAGTCTATGTTAGGATAAATAGGCATTTTTAATACATAAATCAATAAGAAAATTAATTAATAGGCCTTAATTAATTCAAATTAAATCCCAGCCTATTAAACCAACTGCGAGAAATAATTAAGCAAAATCCTAAAGTGATATTCATTTTATGAAATAATTTGACCTTTCGCATACATTTAAATGCCTTCTGTTGTAGTGAAATAATATTGTGTAGCCTATGTGCAGTCCGTCTGATGTAGCCTATTAGGCTATTAATAGGACAAAAACGTTGCCTACCTGTATAGGCGTTCTTCCGAATTTATTAACGTTGTTGACATTCACTCTGTTAGAAAGTAAAAACTGAACACGGCAAGTGTTTCCAGTGGCGGCTGCTTTGGTCAGTTCATCCTCGGCATGCATCCTCATCATCAGTCCAATGAAGAATTTCACTCTGACAGGTAAAAGCAATGAGGACAATATGCGAAAATAATCACTGCATTTCAATCTTCCCTGTCACAGACATAAAATGTTCCACTGCGCTGCGTAAATGAGTTGAATCAGCTCCTTCATAAGCTGTTGTGCCTAATAATTATTACACGTAGGGAGATATTTGTTCGGACTTGCCTCTTAACGTCACGGCAAACCGTGCTGCAGTACTGTACTGCGCATGCGCATTCAAACAGCTGATCCAGGAAGACTTGGAGCTACAATGACACGATAAAGCAGTAAGAGAGTCTGTTAATGTTTCTTTTTTTTTTTTTTTTTTTTTTTTTTTAACTGGTATCAAACCAATTAAAACAGAACAATCGCGAGAACGAGTTTTCTCTTTGTGTCCACAATTTATAAAAACACATTCACAGTTGGCCTAGTCGAATTCTGGAAGTCAAAGCGGGAGGTAGCCCAAGACAAAAAAAAATCAAAGTAGCCTATAGCTATATTGAAAGAGACGCAATGTTATAACTAATAATTATGACTCCCGGCCTCAGCATCCAACATTACTTTAGATTTAGCAATGTATTGGTCACCATATTGTTAACACTTCTATTATAACCTGTTTAATTATGTAGGCTTCATTATTTTGTCAGTATGCTATAGCCTACTATGGAACGCCTATACACACACCATTAATAAAGCATACATTTAGCCTACGTTGTACACTTTTCTCATTTTTTTTCTCAAGTGTTTGATTAGCTGCACTGCACACATACAGTGTGTAGAAAGGAATGGGAATTCCAGGGATGTAGGCTACTGCAATTATTCTGACACTGACAGTATTTCGTTTTACTTTCCGTTTTATAGTGCTATTTGTTCTACAACAGAATCTTAAAAATTTTAGACTGTAGCAAGTAGTTTTTGGTTTTAGCATTTTTTTTCTTTTACAATAGTGTGGGGTTATTCGTCTGATATGTTTGGATGTGTGTCAGTGAAAGTAGTAAAATTAGTAGCAAATTAATTACATAAACTGTCCTTTCTATCCAACTGTCTAGGAAGTGATCATGTTCACACCTAAAATAAAAGCTTTACATTCAGAACTGCAACAGTTTTAACTTGTATGGAAGATGGAAGAAGAGGCCCCTTTAAGAACAATGTGTATTTACTTTTAAATTGTAACATTTAGTATCAGGATGATCATGCATCAGTCAATGTTTTATTAAGGGAAATAAATAGAAACATTTGCATATTTAGTTGTCAGCATAAAAAGTAAAATTATTCAAAGAGAGGATAAGCCATAGCTAAAATTTTAGAGGATGTGAAAATTACTTGATATTATTCTTATTTTAATATCATTCTGATTCTTCTGTGCCAATTTTTTACTCCGCAAATCTAAAATCCCCATAAACAAAAAGACACAAAACCTTTGAAAATGATACAATGACACCGTATTTTTCCCAAAGACACAAAATTAGATCATTTACCACTAAACTGTTTTTACGGACTAGGCCTAATCTTATAAATGTTCATAATTAGATGTACATTTGTAATTAAGAAGAGCATCGCCATAGCCTGACTTCGTCAAACTCATATTCTAGTCAGAATGTGAGTCTGATACTGCTCCATAGGGCTTTGATTATGAGGCGTGTCTTAACCGAACCAGGAAAAAACAACAACTCTGCACTCAATTGGATAGACCTACAACCAATGAGAGCAACGCAGTAAGTCAACTACTTTGCATAGCACAGTTGTCAACTACAGAACTCAAATGCACGCTGGAAGAAGTAAAATAACGAGTGTTGCTTCTTTTACTTGGTCCTCTATGAGTGCGACCAAAGGAGAAACCACAACGACCACAGGGTTCTCCAGCGGCAGTCATCTCTGAGGGAAACCAGTTAAAGGGGTCATATAATGGCATTTTTGTACAAGCTAACATGATTCTTTAGGTTCTAAATTAAAAGTTTGTAATATACTTTAATTAAAAATTCTCATTAGTATTGTAAGAAAACACTTATTTTACCAGGTCAAAAACAGCTCTGTTTTCAGCACGCCGTTTCAGTGCATATGACTTTAAATGATAATGAGCTTTGCTCACCCCGCCTCTCTGTTCTGTGCGTACACCGTTTGTAACACAATAACACAATAACCATAACGCGTTGTTCAGTATAAACGTGGGATTATGAATTATATTGAGAACGTCATACATAGAAAACATGCCGTAATGTACCCTTAGTGTAAACCTTAGACGCATTCATTGTGAAGCGTGCAGCTAGCGATTTGCAAAGATTAATATATTAATATAAAGTTTAATAAAACGTTACACTCACTTCCGTTCTTCTGTAGACTATGATTGACAGCTCCCTCATGAGCGAGGGCGGGTCTGTGTTGAAACGCTCCTGTCAATCAATAATCGTGGGAGGGGCTTCCGACCGTGTGACGTCACACGGTCGAACGGCTTGATTTGAGGCAGGGGAAAACATATAAGGAGATTAAAACAAAAACACTGGATGGATTTTTATCATTTTATGATGGTTGTGTACAGGCACTGCCAACACACATTTCAGTACAATCAACTTGTAAAAGTGCATGTACCATTATATGACCCCTTTAAGCGCTCTTTGATAAAGTGATGATTACGTCCCTGCAGATCATCTGTCCATCATCGTATAAAGCCCGCCCTGGCAATTTGATTGGCCCGAACATTTTTTGACTGATCATAATTACTCCTCAATGGAGCGAGTCCAGACCGAACTTCCCGACCAAAAAATGTTGTGGGCGGGGTTCGGGCTGGCATCCAGGGTAGCATCGCCATTCATTAAATGTAGAATTTTGTGCCATCTTAGGTCAAGAGAAGTTTTGCATTATATAGCATGTTTTTTTAAATTTATTTTTTATAAAACCAACCAAAAAAGATTTAATATTCAGAATGTTTTGTTCATGATTAAAGTATTTCTGACATTTCAGTTAAGGTGAGACAAGTATTTTTCATAATTCATAAAACAAATTATGAAAGTTTCGTTTCAATATAATTACATTTCACTCATTTGGTGGTATGTGTAGTGTCTGACCTCTCCAGGCCTCAAACCATCAAGCCAAGACTCTCCCAACAGTAACAGAGTCAGACTAACATCACCGAAGTCTCGACACCCTTCACACGGAAGAATTGAACTGCTCAACCTTTAAGACTTTCTCCTGAGAGTGCATATCCGGACGCTCGTTCAATGGCTAAGGCATTGCAAGTATCGTACAATTGACTAACTAGCAGAGGTTTAGTAAGCAGTAGACCCCTTGTTAACAAGGTGCTTTAAACTAAGAAACTGATGGTTCTGTTCAGATGGTTAAATAATTCTTTTAGCTTCATTCCTTGTTTCTGGTTCCAGTTTCATTCACTTTCACTGTCATATTTTACCCATCCCATCCCATGTATGTGTGATTGTGCGTTATGTGTTTTCGTAGATTGTTTGTGTTCGTGATTTAGTTAAATGAACTTTTGTGCACATCTCACACGAGTTTTGATTCTGGTTCCTGCTTGTAAATCAACGTCACTTTAACAATGCGATCACAGCTACATGCTAAGAAAGAGTTATTTTTCAATGACCATGCAAAAATCATTTCTGAGAGTTGATAGACGATCAATACTGAGTGTTTTCGCTGGACGAACAGATTAATTGATTGTAATATTAATTTAGCTACATCAAGTTAATTCTATTAACCTATCAAAATATTTATAATTTATCATAACAAGTTATAATTAATTATTCATATTTCCCTTTTTAGATAATTTGCATATGTCTGAGCTGTCCAAATTACTTTTATCCTCAAAGTTCTCATACACTAAAATGAAATTGGATAGAAATATCACTCTTTTCTGAACTGCAGTGTGATTTTCTTCTTGGTAAACATAGTATAAATGTTATATAAATTAGTAAAGGTTCACTCAGTAATTTTGTCCTCATTAATTTCACACATAAATGTATTGTTACATTACAACATTTTAGGTTATTGAATACTTGTGGCTTGTAGAATAGATGGTACCTGTAAAGGAGAATCTTTTTGTTGTTGTTATTTATTCATTTATTTATTTTAAGGCATCCCTGCTACAGTGCAATTATACATTTAGGTACTGAGTAATATTCATTAACAACATGTATACTGTTAGGGTTACAGGGTTTGGTTTAAGGTTAGTTTAATGTAGTTATGCATAATTTACTATTACTAAAGTAAGTACATGTAACAAGGACAGCTAAAGAAAGTGTTACCCTTTTTTTTCTTCTTTTTTTGCTATTGTGCATCTGCACTGCTTGGTGTCAGTGTCAGTGTCCAAGTCCAAGAACACTGGCCCATAGAACAGGAGGTCCAAGGGATTTTCTGGTATGTCTCCAATAATACTTGCTGATGGATGTAATAACAACTCTACTAACTAACAAAATCTAGCAGCAAAAAGCATATTTCTACATTAAAAAAAATTGGTATTCTGACAAATAACTTTTTGCAAGCAACATTTAAACATTTACATTTATAGTGCCTGATTCTTAATTTGTAGGGCTCTTAAAAGTTTTAAATGAATTAGTATTGCCCCCTTTCTGCTGATTTTCACGTCACAGCTCAGTGTAGTTTCTGAATGGCTTGAGGGTGTGCACATTTTTGGTTGTGACATACAGCTTTCTTGGCTGGTGTTTGTATCAATGATCAGGCACAGTCAGGCCTCTTTCGACACTGACCATTCTTTGAAACGGCCACAAATAAACAAATAAACATGATGTTGCTTTAGAACAATTGGGTATTTGTGAGCATTTGAGAAGCAGCACTAGGGCATATCCAGTGAGAGTTACCGAGAATTTTGAGAAAGATGGAAAGTGATTCAGTCACATGGACGCTGCCTAATGGTCTGTGAACAAAGCGTTCAGATACAGCCCTCCTTCTTACCCATCTACTGTAGAATAAAATACAGGGAATAGTCATGAAAACATTTCTGACATACATCAGCATCATGACAGAATTACTTTGTATTGATATAGGATTTTAACATATCATATACGTATAAGATTTGAACATATATATGATTTTGTACATACATTTTTTATTTTAGATTTGTGTTTTTTTGACCTATGGCATCAATTTT